GTTTATCATCTGCGAAACAGGTTGTGTTTTGAAATTTAATAAAATAAAGCTTGTGCTTTGATCCTTTTGTTTGAAACGCATTCTAAAAATGCGGCTGTTACCAGCCTTGAACAGTTACATTGGCAATAGCAGCCCCTGGTGGCACAGGGATGATTTTTTTTATTGGTCACCTTGGTGTTTTTGAACTTGTAGGCTCAAGCAGGCCCTGTGTTAAAAAACAAAATTCAACTGAGTAAATTTTAAAGATTTTACTGGCTTTATTCAGTGATTCATGAATCAGGCAACATCCAATCTAGCAAGTAGAAAGTAGCTCCAAGGAGCTGTACAAAATGAAAGACTTTTATAGACAGAAGGGAGTGGGAACATGGAAGTTACACTAGACAAAAAAGAAGGTTGGTTATTACAAGGTCATCTTTGTTTAGCGGATGGCAGAGATCTATCAGTTTACCTAACTGGTGTTGATTAGGAGATTCCCAGTTGGTAATTAAGTCTCAGTTTGGTGATGTAGAGCCTAGCGTAAGTGACTCCATTTTGGGCCTCCTTTCTTATTTTTAACAAGTGATATGTCCAGTTATAACATACATTGGAATAAAAGTTGAATAATGATAGTGATATGCAGAATTTCCCCCTGCTTCTAATAAAAGAGCAATCTATTTATTGTAAGGATTAATTAGAACTGGGAGTACTGAGAGAGAGTTCTTAGAACCAGTGGAAAACTAGCAGGCTTACAGAAACTTCAGAGGGGTAAATTAACCCCTAGATATTGTTGACTATATTTGGTGTGTATTTGCATTTTGGGGAGAAAATATCTGAGGCTTCTATAAGATTCTGAAAGCATCTAATTTTATCAAAATTGTTATGAAACAGTATGTAAGGTGTGTGGCTTTTCTCAGTAATGTGTTCTCAGAACACATGTTCTTTAAAGCTTTTCACTAAAAGAATTCTGATTTTAGGACACACATCTTTTTTTAAAACTGAAATATAGTTGATTTACAGTATTGTGTTAGTTTCAGGTATATAACAAAGTGATTCAGATATATATATTTTTTTCCAGATTATTTTCTATTATAGGTTATTATGAGATATTGAATATGGTTCCCTGTGCTATACAATAAATCTTTCTTGCTTATCTATTTTATGTATAGTAGTTTGTACCTGTTAATCCCATATTCCTAATTTATCTCTCCCTTCCTTTCCTCTTTGGTAACCATAAGTTTGTTTTCTATGTCTGTGGGTCTGTTTCCGTTTTGTATATAAGTTCATTTGTATCATTTTTTTTTTTTAGATTCACATATAAGCAATACCATATGATATTTGTCTTTCTCTGTCTGGCTTACTTTACTTAGTATGATATTCTCTAGGTCCATCCATGTTGCTGTAAATGGCAATATTTCGTTTTTTATGTCTGAGTAATATTCCATTATTCCAATAATATTCCAATATGTGTGTCTGTATACATATATGTATGTATATATATATATGTATATATACCACATCTTCTTAAACCAATTGTCTGTTGATGGGCACTTTATTTATTTATTTTATTGGCTGCGCAGTGTGGCTTATGGGATCTCACTCAGTTCCCCCACCAGGGATTGAACCCAGGCCATGTCAGTGAAAGTCCGGAATCCTAACCACTAGGCCACCAGGCAACTCCTGATGGGCACTTTATCTTTTCCTTAAATAACTTTTTATTACAACAATATTATATGTGCACTGTAGACATTTAGAAAAATCAGGTAAGCAGAAAGAAGCAAATAAAAGCCATCTGCTCAGAGATATACTTCATAACCATGTTGGTAAATAACTTTCCAGACTTTTTTTAGGCGGGTTGATAGATTCAACTATATAAACCTAAGGAACACATTGCAATGTAAGTGACAAACATTAGTATTACTAATGTGTAAAGAGCTGTTAGAAATCACTGAAGTGACAAACCTCTGTAGAAGGTGGACAAGGAAATGGGAAGAAATACAGTCAATAACTATATATAAAAAAGTCCTCACGTAAAGGTGGTTGTTTAAAGCAAGACAGCAGGCCCCAAATGGAGTCACTTATGCTAAACCAGCCCCACATCACCAAACTGAGAATTACAGTTTCACCTTTCCCAGAAATGGAATCTTAAACCAGCCGATCAGGAACCGCCTATTCAGCACTAGTTAGGTAATCTGCCTGATAGATCCCTGACATCCCCTAAAGGAAGGTGACCTTGTAATAACCAACCTGCTTTTTTGTTTTGAGGTACAACTTCCTTATTCTCACTCCCTTCTGCCTATAAAAGTCTTTCATTTTGTACAGCTCCTTGGAGCACCTTTCTAGCTGAGATTGAATGCTTCCCTATTCATGAATTGTTGAATAAAGCCAATAAGACCTTTACAATTTACAAAGTTGAATTTTGTTTTTTTAACAGTTCAAAAGGTACAAACTTCCATTTTTAAATAAGTCCTGGGGATGTAATGTACAGCATGTTAATTATAGTTAATAATAGTGTATTGTCTTTTTTTTTTTTTGGCCGAGCTGTGTGGCTTGTGGGATCTTAGTTCCCCAAGGCCCTTGCAGTGAAAGCGAGGAGTCCTAACCACCGGACTGCCAGGGAATTCCTGAAAGTTGCTAAGAGAGTTAATCTTAAAAGCTGTCACCACAAGGAAAAAAAAATGTAGCTGTGTGGTGATGGATGTTAACTAGACTTATTGTAGTGATCATTTTGCAATATATACAAATATGGAATCATTATGCTGTACACTTGAAACTAACATAATGTTATATTGTCAATTATATAAATTAAAAAAATTCACTCAAAATTTAAGAAATACATATTAAAACAATAAGATAGTATTTCTCATGTATCAGATAGCAAAGATTCTAAAGAATAATACCAGTCAGTGTTAGTCAGGTTTCATGGAAATAAATGGCTACAGCCTTTCTGGTGGGTAATTTGGAAGTCATGTACTTAATAGTGCTTTCTATCCACTCACCACACATATTACTTTTTCCCTTACATGGACCATTCTCTGCAACTCCTGCAGGCACACTTAACAGGATGTATAGTTTATCTCTAGGTTTGTTTTTCTTGGAGTTCTGAAAGCATCTCTGAATTTGCTTTTTAGAAAATTAATTCCTTTAGGGAA